CGCGCTGGCTCAAGCCTGTAATCCCAGCACTTTGGGAGGCCGAGGTGGGTGGATCACGAGGTCAAGAGATCGAGACCATCCTGGTCAACATGGTGAAACCCCGTCTCTACTAAAAATACAAAACATTAGCTGGGTATGGTGGTGCGTGCCTATAATCCCAGCTACTCAGGAGGCTGAGGCAGGAGAATTGCCTGAACCCAGGAGGCGGAGGTTGCGGTGAGCCGAGATCGCGCCATTGCACTCCAGCCTGGGTAACATGAGTGAAACTCCGTCTCAAAAAAAAAAAAAAAAAGAAAACAGGGTCGGCTCCCATCTGTAATTCTAGCACTGTGGGAGGCTGAGGCGGGCACATTACTCAAGGCCAGCAGTTCAAGACCAGCCTGGACAACATGTTGAAAGTCTGTCCCTACAAAAAATACAAAAAATTAACCAGGTACGGTAGCACACGCCTGTAGTTCTAGCTACTCAGCAGACTGAGGCAGGAGGATAGCTTGAGCCCAGGAGGTGGAAGTTGCAGTGAGCTGAGATCTGGGCGACAGAGTAAAACCCCCATTTCAAACAAAAAAAGGAAAAAAAAAAAAAAAGAAAACAGAAATGGCCAGCTGTATCCATCTTGCTAAGTGAAAGAGAGCTGCAGTCATTTCAAAATAATTACTTTGAAATTATTTACAAAGTAGCAGATATTGGCAGGGTGTGGTGGTTCTTGACTATAATCCCAGTGCTTTGAGAGGCCAAGGCGGGTGGATCACTTGAAGTTATGAGTTTGAGGCCGGGCGCGGTGGCTCACGCCTGTAATCCCAGCACTTTGGGAGGCCGAGGCGGGTGGATCACGAGGTCAAGAGATCGAGACCATCCTGGTCAACATAGTGAAACCCCGTCTCTACTAAAAATACAAAAAATCAGCTGGGCATGGTGGCTCGTGCCTGTAATCCCAGCTACTCAGGAGGCTGAGGCAGGAGAATTGCCTGAACCCAGGAGGCGGAGGTTGCGGTGAGCCGAGACCGCGCCATTGCACTCCAGCCTGGGTAACAAGAGAGAAACTCCGTCTCAAAAATAAAAAAAAAAAAAAAAAGAAGTTATGAGTTTTGAGATCAGCCTGGCCAACATGGTGAAACCCTGTCTCTACTAAAAATACAAAAAATTAGCTGGCTGTGGTGGCAGGCACCTGTAATCTCAGCTACTCCGGAGGCTGAGGCAGGAGAATCACTTGAACCCAGGAGGCGAAGGTTGCAGTGAGCCAGGATCGTACCACTGCACTCTACCCTGAGCGACAGAGCAAGACTCCATCTCCAAAAAAAAAAAAGGTAAATGGATATATAATTTGAGATTAAAGTTAGTCTTTTTTTTTTTTAAACGGAGTCTCTCTGTTGCCTAGGCTGGAGGGCAGTGGCATGATCTCAACTCACTGCAACCTCTGCCTCCCAGGCTCAAGCAATCCTCCTATCTCAGCCTGAGTAGCTAGGACTACAGGCGCACGCCACCACGCCTGGCTAATTCTTGTATTTTTAGTAGAGATAGGGTTTCACCATGTTGGCCAGGCTGGTCTGGAACTCCTGATCTCAACTGATCCACCTGCCTTGGCCTCCCAAAGTGCTAAGATTACAGGCGTGAGGCACTGCGCCCAGCCCAAAGTTAGTCTTAAAATGTAAATAAAATAGGCCGGGCGTAGTGGCTCACGGCTGTAATCCAAGCACATTGGAGGCCAAGGCGGGCGGATCACCTGAGGTCAGGAGTTCAAGATCAGCTGACCAACATGGTGAAACCCGTCTTTAAAAAAAAAAAAAAAAAGTAAATAAAATGTGGATGTGTCCTCAAAAATAATAATAATAATAATAAACAAACCTTGAGTTATGCTTAATTCCTCTGTTTCTCTTTACCTCACATCCAATCCATCAGCAAACCCTGTTTACCTTCAAAGCATGTTTAGAATCTGGCTACTTACCTCTTCCACTACCACCCCCTCGATCCAAGCCACCAAACCTCTCTTGCCTGGATTTCTCAAGAGCCTCCTAACTGCTCTTCCTGCCTCTACCCTTGCCTCGCTCCCCTTGATCCATTCTCAATACCTTAGCCAGAGTGATTCTTTTAAAACATGGGGGCCGGATGCAGTGGCTCATGCCTGTAATCCCAGCACTTTGGAAGGCCAAGGCAGGTGGATCACCTGAGGTCAGGAGTTCAAGGACAGTCTGGGCAACATAGTGAAACCCCATCTCTACTAAAAACACAAAAATTAGCTGGGCACAGTGGTGCATTCCTGTTATCCCAGCTACTCAGGAGGCTGAGGCAGGAGAATCACTGGAGCCCAAGAGGTGGAGGTTACAGTGAGCCGAGACTGTGCCTTACACTCCAGCCTGGGCAACGGAGCAAGACTCCAACTCAAAAAACAAACAAATTACGTTATATCACATCACTCCCTTGCTCAAAGCCCTGCAGTGGCTCCTCCATTCCAGAGCCAAGACCAGTGACCTACAAGGTCTATATAATCCATGTACCTCCCTACCCTCCCCAAACATACTTCTCTTACTTTACCCTCCTTTACCCTGTCCTTCACTCACACACTGGACTCCATGCTGCTCCGTAAGCTCTTTGGACACACTGCTGCCTGATGGCCTATGGCCCTTCCTGCTCCTTTTCCTGAAACGCTCCTCTCTCAGATATCTGCTTGGCCAACTCCCTCATCTCTTACCTCCTTCAATCTAACTCAAATACTACATTTTGTTTTGTTTTGTTTTGTTTTTGAGGCAGAGTCTCACTCTGTCACCCAGGCTGGAGTGCAGTGGTGTGATCAGGGCTCACTGCAGCCTTGACCTCCTGGGCTCAAGCAATTCACCCACTCAGCTTCCAAAGTGGCTAGGACCATAGGCATGCACCACCATGTCCAGTTAATATTTCTTATTTTATATTTTGTAGAGATTGGGGTCTATGTTGCCCAGCTGGTCTTCAACTCCTGGTCTCAAGCAATCCTACAGCTTCAGCCTCCTAAAGGGTTGGAATTGCATGAGTCACTGCACTCAGCCAAATGTTACCTTTTTGATGAAGCCTACCCTGATCAAACTACTTAAAATAGTAATCTGTGTCCCCATTTTTTGCTCTACTTTTTTTTTTTGAGATGGAGTCTAGCTCTGTTGCCCTGGAGTGCAGTGACACAATCTCGACTCACTGCAACCTGTACCTCCTGGGTTCAAGCAATTCTTCTGCCTCAGCCTCCATAATAACTGGGACTACAGGCACGTGCCACCAAGCCCAGCTACTTTTTTATATTTTCAGTAGAGACAAGGTTTCACTGTGTTAGCCAGGATGGTCTCAATCTCCTGACCTTGTGATCTGCCCACCTTGGCCTCCCAAAGTGCTAGGATTACAGGCATGAGCCACCGCATCTGGCCTGCTCTACTTTTTTTTCCCCATAGCACTTACCATCTTTCATACACTATAATCAGGGTGATCAATTCAACCTGGCTGACCAGGAACTTTCCTGGTTTTAGCACCAGAAGTCACGCATCCCACTTAATCCTGTCACCTTGGCCCTGAGCAAACCAGGATGTTAGTCATCCTAATTATCATTTTCTATTTTTACTTTCCGTCTCTTCTCATGACAATATATAAGTTTCACAAGGGCAGACATCTGTGACTGATGTGTTCACATAGAGCAGTGCCTGGCACATAATAGGTGTTCAATAAATAGGGTTTATCCACCTGCCCATCACTACCTTAATGAGCCTCCTGCAAGAAGTCATCTGGGAAACTAGCTAGAAGTAATTAGGTATATCATTTTGAACTCTTCAAATTTAATTCTACTAATATTTAAAACTGTGGCATTATAAAGTATGAGTGATAAAAGAATATGAGACACAAAAAATGTCCACATAGGCCAGGCGCATTAGTTCACACCTGTAATCCCAGCACTGTGGGAGGCCAAGGCGAGCAGGTCACAAGGTCTAGAGTTCAAGACCAGCCTGGCCAACATGGTAAAACACTGTCTCTACTAAAAATACAAAACTTAGCCAGGCGTGATGGCACATGCCTGTAGTCCCAGCTACTCAGGAGGCTGAGACAGGAGAATCACTTGAACCCGGGAGGCAGAGGTTGCGGTGAGCCGAGATCGTGCCACTGCACTCTTGCCTGAGCGATAGAGCAAGACTCTGTCTCAAAAAAATAAAAATAAAAAAATATATCCTGGCCGGGCACGGGTGTAATCCCAGCACTTTGGGAGGCCGAGGCAGGAGGATCACGAGGTCAGGAGTTCAAGACCAGCCTGGCCAACATGGTGAAATCCCATCTCTACTACAAATACACTACTAAAAATACAAAAATTGCCAGATGCAGTGGCTTACATCTGTAATCCCAGCACTTTGGGAGGATGAGGCAGGCAGATCACCTCAGGTCAGGAGTTTGAGACCAGCCTGATCAACATGGAGAAACCCATCCCACTAAAAATACAAAAAATTAGCTGGGCATGGTGACACCCACCTGTAATCCCAGCTACTCAAGAAGCTGAGGCAGGAGAATCGCTTGAACCCAGGAGGCAGAGGTTGCAGTGAGTCAAGATCAAGCCATTGCACTCCAGCTGGCCAACAAGATTGAAACTCCATCCCAAAAAAAAAAAAAAAAAAAAAGCCCAGCGTGGTGGCGCTCATCTGTAATCCCAGCTACTCGGGAGGCTCAGGCAAGAGAATTGCTTGAACCCGGGAGGTGGAGGTTGCAGTGAGCTGAAATCACGCCATTGCACTACAGCCTAGGCTACAAGAGCAAGACTCCGTCTTAAAATAAAATAAAATAAATGTCCATATAAATTTTTGAGTCATGCCCTACGTCCATAAGTCAAGCCAGGATCTTCTCAAATCACTGTTTCAAAACATTCACATGACCCATAATTATAGACTTTAAGTAAGGTGGCCTAATTTAGAAAGGCACCTTTAGCATCCCTGTAACTCCTCTACAAAGCAGCGGTTTCCATTAGATGCGACTAAGGCCTGCAGCACACAGGACAGGCCATGTCTTACCTCCTGTGTAGAGAAAGGAGCCAGACAGGCCTCCAAAGTAGATGAGGGCCAAGTGTTCCAGTTTCAGAGAGGACAGGTAGTAGAGGCAAGCGGCACAGAAGCAGCCCAACGTGTAGAGGAAGACTCCGAACCGTACGACATCCTGGGGCTCCAAGATTCGATCCACAAGTGTCCTGTCATCACTCTTTTTGTGGTCAATGCCCTTAGAAAAGTCATAGTAAGTGTTGACCAAATTACCGGCCCCGTGCACAGCCAGGACAGCCACGGCACAACCCACCAAGAGCCTGGGATCCAGGACACCGTGGGATCTGTAGGCCAGGGCACTGCCCAGGGCCACCGGCGTGAGTGAGGCACTGAAGCTCCAGGGCCTCAAGGCCAACACGTAGGAGGCGCACTTCTGCCTCCAGGAGCGCTGGGGGAGCCTATCTTGCTCGGGACAGTAGTTCCCCAGGGGGTCCCTGTCTCCAGCCTTGACAGTCTCTCCCGACAGGATGTTAATCTTCTCCCCCAGGACCTGAGAGGCTGCCATGGGCGCTCCACGTGGTTAAAGTAAACTCTTAAGTGAGCCACGCACAGTGACCGCCCCGGAGGAAGGAAGGACGGGGCGGAGCAGCCGGGCCTGACCTTCTTTCGGTTCCGTCCGGAGGCAGGACTGGTGTGGCGGCAGGGTCCGGGGGCAGCAGCAAACGGGTGTTGCACCCCACGAGACCTGACGTCGCCGCCCCTACTACCCGTCACCTGGGCGAAGTCTGTCTCCGGCCTCCAGCCCCGCGCTAGAGCCCACGGCCGAGCCGCGGCCGCCTTCTCTAGGCCGCCAAGGCCGCCATCTTGTGCGCCGGCCTCTGGAGGCCCGCCCGGAAACAGGTGCCCGTAGCGCTAGCCGGGCCGGAGGGTGGGCTGGTGGGCGGGAGAGGACGGGGCCGAGCCAGAGGCGGGAGAAGGGCGGTGGGGGCGCGGCAAGAGGCAGGGCGGGGCAAGAGGCAGGGCGGGGCGGGGCCGGGAAACGCGTGGAGAAGGGCGGGGAGGGGCGGAGCCGGGTCAAAAGGGGGCGGGGTCAGAGGCGGGGAGAAGGGCGAGAAGGGGCGGAGCCGGGCCAGAAGCGGAGTGGGGTGGGGCTGGATCAGAGGTGGGGCGGGGTCGAGGAGGGCAGGGACCGGGTCATAGGCGGGGAGAAGGGCGGGGAGGGGCGGGGCAGGGCCCGAGGAGGGGCGGAGCCAGACCAGGGGTGGGGCGGGGACAGGTGAGGGGAGAGCCCCAGAGCCGGAGGGGGCGGGGACGGGGCGGGGCGGGGGCGGGGACCCCGCGGGGACCCCCTAGGGTCCCGCCCTTTTCCTGCCTGCACCGAGCCCGGCAGCTACTTCCAGACTCACTGGAAGCTGCCTCTCTTAGCATCATAAGCACAACTCGGGCAGGGCGAGGTGCCTCACGCCTGTAATTCCAGCACTTTGGGAGGCCGAGGCAGACGGATCACGAAGTCGGGAGATCATGACCATTCTAGCTAACACGGTGAAACCTGTCTCTACTAAAATAAAAAAAGTAGCCGCGCTTGGTGGCGTACGCCTGTGATCCCAGCTATTCGGGAGGCTGAGGCAGAGGAATCGCTTGAACTCGGGAGGCGGAGGTTGCAGTGAGCCGAGGTCGCGCCACTGCACTCCAGCCTGGACGACAGAGCTCCTGGACAGGGGCGGACTCGGCCTCAAAAAACTGCGTCTCAAAAACAAAGAAACTCAAAGGCGTGCCGCTTTAGGACTTGCCCAGCACTTTCATTCATGAAGTAGGATTCATTAATTGATTCATGCTAATAAATTATTTATGCATTTATTGAGCACCTGAAGTCTATCATATCAGACACTCTGATGTCTATCATATCTGCACCCTGGAAAAACTCTATGATGTGCCATTGCTCGCTTCTTCTGAGCTTTTCATTCAGTGACATCCTTCGGCCACTTAAAATCTGCCCATGGTGGGAGAATTCACACCACTCAAATCAGCAAATGCTTGATAACTGCTAAGTCGTCTAGACTTAAGAAAGTGGTGGAGAAAATGTTACTAATACTGGTTAAACTTAAAAGTGCTGGCGGGGCACGGGGGCTCACACCTGTAATCCCAGCACTTTGGGAGGGTGAGGCAGGCAGGATCACTTGAGGTCAGAAATTCGAGATCAGCCTGGCCAACATGGTGAAACCCTGTCTCTACTAAAAATACAAAAATTAGCCAGGCGTGGTGGCAGGCACCTGTAATCCCAGCTACTCAGGAGGCTAAGGCAGAAGAATTGCTTGAACCTGGGAGATGGAGGTTGCAGTGAGCCGAGAACGTGCCAATGGACTCCAGCCTGGGTAACAGAGCAAAACTCTGTCTCAAAAAAAAAAAAAAAGAAAAATTAGCCAGGCATGGTGATGCATTCCTGTAATCGTAGCTACTTGGGAGGCTGAGGCAGGAGAATTCCTTGAACCCGGGAGGCAGAGGCTGCAGTGAGCCATGATCACACCACTGCACTCCAGCCTGGGCAATAGAGTGAGACTCCATCTCAGAGAGAGAGAGAGAGAGAAAGAGAATAGCACCAAAACATTGAGGAAATATTCTTCCAGTATTGGAAAATTATTATCCAGTTGAGCAAATAAGCTGCTCGTGGCCTTGACAAACTAGTGAAGTTCTGACATATCTCTTTTATTTTTTTCTTTTGAGACAGAGTCTCACTCCGTTGCCAGACTGGATTGCAGTTGTGCAATCTCTGCTCACTGCAGCCTCCACCTGCCGGGTTCAAGCAATTCTCCTGCCTCAGCCTCCCAAGTAGCTGGGACTACAGGTGCGTGCCACCACACCCAGCTAATTTCGTATTTTTGGTGGAGACTTTTGCCCAACGCAAACTAAAGATGTGGAACAGGGTGTTGTAGTGTGCACCAGTAGTCCCAGCTACTCAGGAAGCTGAGGTGGGAAGATCTCTTGAACTCAGGTAAGAGACCCGTCTGTGCAACATAGTGAGATCTGCACTGTGACTCATGCCTATAATCCCAACACTTTGGGAGGCCAAAGTGGGTGGATCACTCAAGCCCAGGAGTTCAAGACCAGCCTAGACAACATGGTGAAAATACAAGAATTAGCCAGGTATGGCAGTGGTCCCAGCTACTTGGGAGGCTGAGGTGGAAGAATCACCTGAGCCTGGGAAGTCAGGGCTGCAGTGAGTTGTGATTGTGTCACTGCACTCCAGCCTGGGCAATAGAGTGAGATCTTATTTCAAAATTAAATAAATAAATAAATAGTGGGCCTCTTGTTCAAAATCATTAACAATTGCTGAACAGAGCATGATGCAGCTGTGAAGTTAGCTCTGTACATACCTGCTCCCACTTCCCCCAAGCTAGTTGTTAAACATTACAACTTCACCACTCGGCAAAAAGCTTTCGATACTGGCCAAACTCATAAGTCATACAATGTCAAATCTGAAACTATATCAGCAGATATATTAATATCTTGGCTCTATCGCTTACCAATTCCATGTCCCAGTGTCTCTGTTCTTTGGCTTATTTATATATAATGGTGGGAGCAATGCAACCTGCCTCATAGAAATGCTCAGGAGTAATAGTAACAATCTTTATTGACTGTTCACATGAACCATATACTTTGTTTGCTTTTGAGATGGAGTCTCACTTTGTCGCCAAAGCTGGAGTACAGTGTCACAATCTCAGCTTACTGCAACCTCCGCTTCCCAGGTGCAAGTGATTCTCCTGCCTCAGCCTCCCAAGTAGCTCGGACTGCAGGTGTCTGCCACCACGCCCAGCTAATTTTTGTTTGGTTTTGTTTTTTTGAGATGGAATCTTGCTTTGTCGCCAAGCTGGAGTTCAGTGGCGCTGAAGCAGGAGCAGCTGAGAACAAACCTCTCCAACACCAAACTGGGAAGGAAGTGGCAGTTTTATTCGGCTGGGAGCTGCGGCGGGCTCAAGCCTCAATAAATGAGCTTCCTGACAAAGAAAATCCTGGCCCTTAGGCCGGGCGCGGTGGCTCACGCCTATAATCCCAGCACTTTGGGAGGCCGAGGCAGGTGGATCACAAGGTCAAGAGATCAAGACCATCCTGGTCAACAAGGTGAAACCCCGTCTCTACTAAAAATACAAAATTTAGCTGGGCATGATGGTGCGTGCCTGTAGTCCCAGCTACTCGGGAGGCTGAGGCAGGAGAATTGCTTGAACCCAGGAGGCGGAGGTTGCGGTGAGCCGAGATCGTGCCATTGCACTCCAGTCTGGGCAACAACAGCGAAACTCCGTCTAAAAAAAAAAAAAAAAAAAGAGAAAATCCTGGCCCTTTTAAAAGCTTACAATCTAAGAGGTGCACATGTGAGAGGGTCATGATCAATTAGGGAAGCGTGGTGCACGTGACTAGGTAGGGGTCTGAGCAGTTGAGCAAGAACAATGCCTTCCAGGGAAAATTCCTCCATGCCACATCCGTGATCTATAGATAGAATTGTGGTTAGGAGTAGTGGCCAGCGCTGCCAACCGGTCCTTCCACTGACCTCACGTGGCTGACCTTTAACTTTTACTTCCTCCTTTTCTCCAAGCTCAGAGAAGGGGGTCTCCTTCCTCAGCACGATCTCACTGCAACCTCCGCCTCCCGGTCTCAAGTGATTCTCCTGTCTCAGCCTCCAGAGTAGCTGGGATTATTTTGTATTAAAAATTTTTGTATTTTTAGTAGCGATGGGGTTTCACCATGTTGGCCAGGACAGTCTCAATCTCTTGACCTTGTGATCTGCCCACCTTGGCCACCCAAAGTGCTGGAATTACAGGCATGAGCTACTATGCCCAGCCCTAATTTTTGTATTTTTGGTAGAGATAGGGTTTTACCAAGCTGGTCTCAAACTCCTGATCTCAGGTGATCCGCCCTCCTCTGCCTCCCAAAGTGCTGGGATTATAGGTGTGACCCACTGTGCCCGGTCAAGCCATATACTCTTTTAGGTACTTCACTGGGGGTACCACCACCTATGGGCACCCAGGAAGGAGAACTGTCCAGACCCCAGGCACAATGAGTGCCTGAAGAATATTTTATAGTGTTATTACTCAGCTATTTCCTTTATATAATCCTTTACATATAATCATATATTAGTTTATAGAATTAGTGCGTGAAGTATAACTTACTGCTTACATATATCTAGCTTATATAATCATACTTAATACTTATATCTAGCATACTTAGTTCTATATAATCTTTCTATATAATCATATAGGTATTGTAGTCGGAGCTGTACTGACACATTTAGTGCTAATTTATAGAATCCTTCCATATAACCAAATAGTAGTTTGTAGTAGAAGGAATGCCCGGAGCAGTCACAGAACAGAAGCAGTACATGGGAAAATAGCCAGACCAGGACAAGAACCAAAGACCCAGGCGGTGGCGTTCCTACCTAAAGGGGCATGCACTGTCTGTCAGGCTTGGAGCAAAAGCCTCTCCTAATAAAGAAGTTGTAGTACCTTACATCCAGTTCTTGTGGAAAGTAGGCCTAAGGCCTGAGATCCTGGAAATAACCAAGGGAGAAGAACCTCTCTGGTGTAACCAGTCACAGCGGCTGTACACCCTGTCAATCTTTTCTCACTTCTGTGCTAGCTCAAGTCATCCTCCCATAAATATCTTAAGAGAAGAGCACAAGTCTGTTAGTTCCCACTGCATTGGCTTACAGTATCCTTCTATTAAAAAATCCTTTGAAGTCTCCAGCCCCCCGATAAGAAGTGTTGCGCACGACACCTGTTGCACACAGCCCACCTCCTTGCCTCGGTGACCTAATGAGGGTGGACCCCTTTTCTGTACACGACCCTCTACTACTTCATACAGCACAGCCCCCTACTGCGCACGGCCCACCTCTCTGCCCAGGTAACATAATGGGGTGGCTCCCTTGCTTGTAACTCACA